CAATCCCTGTGAGTATCCCAGTCAAAATAATCTCCCAAGTCAATGTCGCTCACGCAGCAAGGCTCTTGGTCTGACTCGTCTGTCTCTGACCTCTGTAAGCAGGTGGTGATAGGTATCCCAGATCTGGCCACCACGCTCCTAATCCTCCTCTCCTGACGCCTCTTTTCCTTGCTGCCACCTCTGCTCAGCGGTTTTGGATTACAGCCGTCAAAGTCAAAGAGAGCACCACCTGGTGCGAAGGGGACCTGGGAAAACACCACATGTAACCAGTGCTCCCTCCAGTAACTCTCCCTACGGAAGATATAATCAGCAATCCGGTCATAGGTGGCTCCCTTTATTCCCTGCCCAGCATCTCTCACGTGATAAGTGATCACCAACGTGTATCTCGATGTGGGAGACTCATTGGCCCTAATGACGAAGGTCTGATGTCCAATGTGTCGATAACAAAACTTCTCAACCAGCTTACCCCATATAGGGGTTGTTTCATGTTGAGGAGCCAGCTTGACCAATCTGCAAAGTAGGTTAAAATGCCCCTGACAGGTGGTCACACCAAGCAATGATGTCCTGGTGATAAAGGGGGGTACCAGCAACTCACGAAAATAGCCCAACTCGATGGGATCGGCAATCAACTCAGCATAGGGGCCCGCCGAAATGGGTTCGGCTGAACAGCAACAACTCGGTATAGGGGCCCGCCTGAATGGGCCTGGCTGAACAGCAACAACTCAATATAGGGGCCCGCATGAATGGGCCGGGCTGAACAGCAACAACTCGATATAGGGGCCTACCTGAATAGGTCCGACTGAACAGCAACAACTTGATATAGGGGCCCGCCTGAATGGGCCCGCCTGAACAGCAACAACTCGATACAAGGGCCCTCCTGAATGGGCCCGCCTGAACAACAACTCAGCAGCTCAGCATAGCAGGCAGAGGCCAGTTGCAAAATACTGCTTGTGCAAACTGGACTGCGCTGATATCATACGTGCAGGAAAATACTGTCTGCACGGGGACTGATTGTCCATGCAGAGACTGATCAACAAGAAATCAAATCAGCGGGAGTTGAAGCTAGTCATGCCATCAAAGACATCCAGTCACGTCCTCAAGACTAATCACACTAGCAAGGCGCGCGTCCCCGACCATCATACCGGTAGGACGTGCATTCTAGAATCATCAGAACATCGGAGCTCTCACTCACATAGCCTACCCGAGCCTGGGCGCACTCATGTGATAATACCAAGCGTGGGCGCGCATGGGCGCGCGCTCAATTCACAACACTAAGCTTGGGCGCGTATGGGCGCACACTCAAATGGCAATGCTGAGCATAGGCGCCCATGGGCGCGCACTCGAATAGCAATACTGATCGCGGGCGCACGTGAGTGCATACTCAAATGGCATTGTCAAGCTTGGGCGCGCATGGGCGCGCACTCAAATGGCAATTTTAGGCATGGGCACGCATGGGCGCGCACTTAAACAATGTCGATCATGGGCGCGCACGGGCGCGCACTTAAATAACAATATCTGGCTTGGGCGCGCATGGGCGCACACTCAAATAGCAATACGAAGCTCGGGCAGGCATCGGCGCGCACCCTCACAACAATGCCAAGCCTGGGCGCGCATGGGCGAACACTCTAAAAGCAATGCCAAGCTTGGGCGCGCATGGGCGCGCACTCTAACGACAATGCCAAGCTTGGGCGCGCACTCTAACAACAATGTCAAGCTTGGGCGCGTATGGGCGTACACTCTAACAGCATTGCCCAGCTTGGGCGCGCACTCACACAGCCAAACTGAGACTGGGCGCGCACTCAAACAGCCAAACTGAGACAGGGAGCACACTCAAACAGCCAAACTGAGACTGGGCACGCACTCAAACAGCCAAACTGAGACTGGGCGCGCACTCAGTAACGCGGTGCATGTGGGCGCAAAGGGACGGGACCAGCAATTCCACAGATCCGACTGGCAATGGCACGATCAACAGTTCCACAAATCCAGATGCATAATGGCAAGGTCGACAGTTCCTTGGATCCGAAAAGCAGTGGAGCGCGCGCGGGGGCACGATAGCGAGATCAGCAATTCCTCAGATCCAAATGGCAATTCCAATCTCTATCGAAGCCGCGCAGACTGCGCGAGGCTGCGCCTGACTAACACACATCAAATCAGGGTTGCGCCAGATTGCACCCGACCGCGCAGGGCTGACACACGCCGGATCGGAGCTGCGTCAAACTGCACCAGGCTGACAAATATCGGATCAGAACTGTATCAGGCTGCGCCAGCCTGTCAAGTGGCAGATCGAGACTGAACCAGGCTGCGCCAGCCTGCCAAGTGTCAGATCA